CTCATTAAAAACCTATAACAAACAAATCCCACTATGTTGTATAATTATAATGCACTAATAAAAAACAACTAATAGTTTTTAAAAACCCATAATAATCTCACTAAGTAGGTATTAATTTTTTCAGGCTTGAAATGCTAAGAGATAATGGAACTTGCCAAAGAAGGTGCTTGGTGGGGCATCTTGATTTCAACACAGGTCTCTTAACCTTGGAGCCTTCGGGAAAATTTGCTTTAGGCTTTATAACTTTGAAAGAGTCTCAAAGCCTCTGATTCTTTACATTGTTATCCTACCACTCTTACCTAACTTTCAAGAAAGATAAAAGCAGATGAAGCCTGGAGCTTTTAGAAAGCTGGAATAAATATCTGCAGAACCAAGATTTTAATTGGGTATTGCTTTTTGGAACTTGTCTACTTCTATTCAACTCAAAAGGCTCAAGATCAATATGCTTGGCTAGGTGGTCACAGGGGAGGAAAACAGTCTACCAGAAATATGGGTTTGAGAAGTCACCACAGACCAGGATAAGGATACATTTTCATTGAAGGAAGCTGAACCAGGATGAATGAAAATGGACAAAACCTGAGTGGAAAGGAAGCTGGTAAAGAGGACAAAATTAAAGGAGAACTGAGAAAAGGGAGGTACTTGGAGTAAAGGCAGTTGTGAGTTACTCTGCAGTATTTTTTCCTCCCACCTTTTACCTCTATCTACTCTTTTCCTCAATGAGCTCAGTCATTATAAGGACTTCAATACTCCCTTCTATTCAGAAAACGCCAAATCTCTCTAGTCCTGACTTTTCTCTAGAGTTAACTCCTGAGAGCTGGCCATATCCATCTACACTCCCAATAAGCACTTTATTTATTTATTTTTGAGGTGCTGGGGATCAAACCAATGGCTTCGCATGTGCTAGGTAGGTGCTCTACTACTGAGCTACATCCCCAGTCCTATTTTTAAATTATTCTCTTATTTTGAGAAAGGGTCTAGCTAAATTGCTAGGCAGGCCTGGAACTCGCAATTGTCCTGCCTGTCTTCTGAGTCACTGGTATTACAGGCATGGACTACCAGGCCAGCCTCCTGTCAGCACTTTAAATCCAGTGGATCCTCTTCCCTGAGCCTGTTCATCAAACACCTATGTGGTCAGGCACAGTGGCACAAGCCTGTAATACTGCAACTTGGCAGGCTGAAACAGTTCTAAAACCAGCCTCAGCAATTTAGTGAGACCCTGCCTCAAAATAAAAAAATAAAAAGCGGCTGCTATTTACAATAGCCTCATAAAAAAGAATACAATTCTTGGGGGGCTGGGGATGTGGCTCAAGTGGTAGCATGCTTGCCTAGCATGCGTGAGGCACTGGGTTTGATTCTCAGTACCACATAAAAATAAAATATATTGTGTCCACCTAAAACTAAAAAATAAATATTGAAAAAAATACAATACTTGGGAATCAATTTAACAAAAGAGGTGAAAGACCTCTGTAATGAAAACTACATTAACACTAAAGAAAGAAATGGAAGATGACCTTAGAAGATGGAAAGATCTCCCATGCTCTTGGATAGGCAGAATCAATATTGTTGAAGTGGCCATACTACCCAAAGTGCTATACAGATTCAATGTGTTTCCAATTAAAATCCCAATGTCATTCCTTACAGAAACAGAAAAAGCAATCATGAAATTCATTTGGAAAAATAAGAAAATCCAAAATAACCAAAGCAATTCTTAGCAAGAAGAGTGAAACAGGAGGCATCACAATACCAGATCTTAAACTACACTACAAAGCAACAGTAATAAAAATGGCATGGAATTGGCACCAAAACAGACATGTAGACTGATGGTACAGAATGGAAGACACAGAGTCAAACCCACATAAATACAGTAATCTCATACTAGACAAAGGCGCCAAAAACATACATTGGACAAAAGACAGCCTCAACAAATGGTGCTGGGAAAACTGGAAATCCATATGCAGCAAAATGAAACTAAACCCCCATCTCTTACCATGCACAAAACTCAAAGTGAATCAAGGACACAGGAATCAGACCAGAGACCCTACACCTAATAGAAGAAAAATCTTTATCATTTTGATTTAGGCCACAACTTCCGTAACAAGACTCCTAAAGCACAAGAAATAAAATCAATAATCAATAAGTGGGATGAATTCAAACAAAAAAGCTTCTTCTCAGCAAAAGCAACAATCAATGAGATGAACAGAAAGCCTACAATTTGGGAGCAAATTTTTGCCACACACAGGTCACATAGAGCACTAATCTCCAGGATATATAAAGAACTCAAAAAACTTATCAAAAAAACAACTAAAAAACCCCCAATCAATAAATGTGCTAAGGAGCTGAACAGACACTTCTCAGAAGAAGATATACAATAGATAACAAATATATGAAAAAATGTTCAACATCTCTAGTCATTAGAGAAATGCAAATCAAAACTCTCACCCCAGTCAGAATGGCAGTTAACAAAAGTACAAGCAACAGTAAGTGTTGGTGAGGATTTAAGGGAAAAGGCACATTGCTGATGGGACTGCAAATTGGTGCAACCACTCTGGAAAGCAGTATGGAAATTCCTTAGAAAACCTGGAATGGAACCACCATTTGACCCAGCTATCCCACTCCTCGGTTTATACCCCAAAGACTGAAAAACAGCATAACTACATTAACAAAGCCACTTCCATGTTTATAGCAGCACAATTCACAATTGCTAAACTATGGAAACAACTTAGATGCCCTTCAATAGATGAATGGATAAAGAAACTGTGGTACATATACACAAAGGAATATTACTCAGCATTAAAAGAGAATAAAATTATGCCATTTGCAGGTAAATGGATGGAGTTGGAGAATATCATGCAAAGCGAAATAAGCCAATCCCCCCCTAAAAACAGGGGCCTAATGTTTTCTTTATTAAGTGAATGCTAATCCATAAGAGGGAAGAGGGTATGGGATGAGTGGAGGAAATTTGGATGGGGCAAAGGTGGGGAGTGGGTAAGGGGGTAAGATAGTGGAATAAAATGGACATCAATACCCTAGGTACATGTATGATTACATGAATGGTGTGCATCTACTTCAAGTACAACCAGAGAAGTGAAAAATTCTGCTCCAATTGTGTACAATAAATCGAAGAGTTTTCTACTGATTAGAACTAATAAAAACAGACAAATAAAGGGCTGGGAGTGTAGCTCAGTGTCTAGGTGCCCCTGAGTTTAATCCCCAATACCTAAATAAAAAGCAACAACAAAAAAACCCAAACATCTATCTGAACCACTCTTTCATCCAACAATTAATTATTATAATTCTATTATCTCCCACACACTCTGTCACAGCATTAGGTACATCCATTCACTCATGGAAGTTTGGTCATTTCTCCCTTGAAAATCATCCGTTTGTCCAACTCAACTGAATTCTTTTCTAAGAGGTACTGAGAATCTCTCTTCCTTGAACCATGGCAACCTCAACACTCTGTTTGCATGCCATTCTTTCTGTAGTGATCACCTAGCACTTAGCACAGTACCTGGAACACAGAAGAAAGGGCTTCACTTTCAGGGACTGTAGACTTTCTGGGAAGGGAAATGAGGGAGCAGAAGCTGTAAGACTTGTCTCCAAGAATATGAAGTACTGTGTTTTCCTTACGCTGTAAAACCTACACACATAATATCAGCCTGATTCTTTTTTTCCAGAGGTATGGTTTTGGAATGCCAGAAAGATTGTTTCCTGATTTAAAAAAAACAAAACTGTCCACTTTCTATCCCTTAAGTACTCAATAACCACTTGTTGAATATATCACCTTCCATGACAGAGACCACGAATGTTGTATCCTCCATTGTATGCTCAGCCCTGTAACATCTGGCCATAGTAAGGGTTCAATAAATATCTGTGGAGGATTCTGGAAAGGCAGGGGCCATAGATATTTTATTCACCACAGCAGCAAGAACAAAGATGAAGGGCCTGAGGTTAAAAGAGATAGTACAGGATGTACCCCCCTCCCCCATTCCCCCAGGACTTGGTACGTGTTTGCTAAGCGAAATAGATCGCTCTCCTCCACAACTCCAAAATCGGGCCCCTTGCTTCCTGGCCAGGCCCTGGAGCGCGGCCACCATCTGGCCCAGGCCCGTACTTCCCTCCCTCCCAGCCTGGGCTCCTGTTACCTCCCTGCACACATCTGTGCCCACCACAAGCCAAACAATTACGCGCTCCCGCGTCCCTGCCTCGAGGTCTGGATCGTAGCCGGGGCCTGGCCAGGACCTCCACCAAATTTACTCCCCGCCAAATTTTCGTGGACGTTCGCGGCCAGGATGGCCTAAGACCGCCGCCTGCCACCGGCTCTGGCAACCCCAGCACCAGGAGCGCCAGGACGTAGTCCATGTGCTCGGCCGCCCGTCGCTCTCCAGCCATAGCCCACTCGGCTTTCAGCGCTGAGCCAGGAGGCCTGGCCACTCCGGCCCGGCCCGGCCCCGCCGCGCTCCTTGAGGCCCGAGGCGGGGAAGGCGGGAAGCGGCTGCAGCTGTGAGGCGCCGAGCGGCGGGGGACTGGGGCACAGAGGGCAGCAGGCCGGCCGAGGGTTCCGACGATGCGAGGCCCGAGCTGCAGCGATGCTCGGGCCACTACGGGGCTCGGCGAACAGCGGCTCGCACACTCACCACTGTCCGGCGGGGCAGCGCGCCAGAGGTCCGGAACAGGGCCCGGCGGAGTCGCCGCGCCCGGCCCGAGCGGGTTCCCCCGGAGCTCTCGGAGCCGCTGTCATCCGAGATCACGATAAAGTCCTCCATTGCTACGGGTCCCGGCCAAGCCAGAGCGCGAGCGGTCGGCGACCCAGGCGGCGGAGGCAGCGGTGACTTCGGTTCCCGCTGCTGAAGCGACCGTGGCGGCGGCAACCCGGGATATCCCCCGCCTGCCCCGCCCCTTTCCGTCCCTAGTCCCGCCCCCGCTACACACGCCCCGCCCACTTCTCGGAGCCCCGCCCATCGGCGGGCTGCGGGAGACTGGGTCAGCGCCATGATCTTTGTGCTAGGCGGCAGCACCCTTCCTCCCTTCTCGAGGAGAAAAAAAAAAAGAAAACAAGCTGGCTTGGACTGGTGTTGGGGGCGGATGTGCGAGGTGCTGAGGCTGCGGGGCTGAGCCAGCTGCTTCCCTTTGAAAGTGCGAAGAGAGGTGTGATCAGCCCCTGCCCGGTGGAGGTGTGAACTGCCCTTTCTGAGAAGAGGGCTTAACTGACAGGGAGAGGGGTCCCTTGAAGGTGGGTGACCTGATCTGTGACTTACTAGACTCACTGACGGGGTAGAGTGTGCCCTGACTGACTGAAGGAGAGGCTGGCTTCCAACTGACGGGGTAGAGGGGCCCCCAACTGACAGTGGGTGACCCAGACTCTTACTGATTAATGAGGTAGGCAGATCCTGAGTGACTGAAGTGGGTAATCTAGTCTCTTACTGATTGATGGCTACAGGGGCCACCAGCTGACTGAGGTAGTGGAGACAAACCCCACTTATTTGTGTACATGTGCAAATATACCTGTAGGATAAATTCCTAGAAGTGAAATATTGGGTCAAAAGCAGTGTTTTTGTTGTTTTGGTAAATGATGCCAAATTATCCTGCTAAATGGTTCCAATTGTTGCAGTTTCACCAACATTACATGTATCTCAGGAATTTAAACTATGAGATATAGAGAGTTGTTCAATTGGTAGCTGGGTGAATAGCTTTAAAAAGTACACACACAAAAAGAATTTATGGAATGAGGCTCCAAAATTTGCATTTCTAGCAAGTTCCCAGGTGATCTGGTGACCACACTTTGAGAAACACTGGTCTGGTGGATAAGGATTTTAGGATCAATAGATTTCAGATATTCTGGTCAAATAGATGAAGGGTTCTGAAGGGATACATTAAGTTGACTTCACCTAATAATGCCATTAAACATTTAGATTATTGAACTCTACTTTTTGTATGAATGCTGGGGATTGAACCTAGGTCTCATGTGTGCTAAACTCACTCTCTACCACTGAGCTACACTGCAAATCTCAACTCCCTGCTGCCTGAAACACCGTCTTCTCTAGATTACTGTGATTCTGCATTTCTCTTATCACTTCTTTGTAGTCTTTTTAGTTGACTCCAATTCTTCTATTCATCACCCCTTAAATCTTTGTGTTCCTCAGAGTTCTGACATGGGCTCCCTTCAGACACTACCGTCTTATATAATCTCAAAAATTCCCATGGCTTCAATGATCATTTTGATGGCAACAACCCCCCATGTTTATCTCCAGCACAGACCTATCCTTAAACTATAATTGTATATATCTAGATGACTATTGATGTTCCTAGGCATCTCACGTTGAAGATGTCTGCAACTGAACTCGCCTCTAACCACCCTCTAACCACCCCTTACTGCTCTCCTTCACTCTTCCCTGTCTCACTAAGTGGTGCTAACACCAGCCAGCAATTGCTCAAGTAAGTATTGTGCTTCTTTTCTATCTTTCCTCATCAACAGTTCTTACCTGTTTTATCTCCTAAATCTCTCTCTCTCTCTCTTTCTCTTTCTTTCTTCTTCTTTTTTTTTCTTTCTGTATTGTAGTGGCACCCCCTCCTCCACAGAAAATCTTAACTTCTCCAGAAATCTTCACCAAAATTGACTTTAGGACTATCAGCATTAAGAGTCTTTACAAAAGAGTTCAATTAGGTAAATTTCCTATTTTCCTGTTGCTCTATTTTACTTGGCCACTGGCCTGGAAGAAATCAGCATTCCGGGTGCTGAAAACCCCTTTACTAGTTTTTCACAAATATTTTATCCAGTATAATAGTTTGTAGAAGTGTGTTTAAAATGCAAAATGTGATAGTAAAAGACAAATCCTTTAACAAGGCTTCTGGCCTTGAGCTGGAGCCTCACAGAGATGTCTACATTTCTAAGATAAGAGAAGTTACCAGTTGGGCTCCATGAGAACAGCTGGCAGGGGGAGGAAAGAAAAGGGAGAAGTAGCACTCCCCTTCTCAGGTGTAGTTCTTGAAGGGTTAACTTGTCCAGAACAGTAAAAGGAAAAGCTGCTTTTATGTGAATTTCTGCAGACTGCGGACTTCTGAGCCCCTCCCCTTACATGCTGGGTATAAAATTCTGAAACAGCCTGAACTTGGGGTTCAGAGGATTAATTGATTACAGTGAAAACTGTACCCTCTGAACCTGATGCAGCCAAATAAAACTGTTTCCTGCTATTTTTGGTGCTCTACCTCTGTCCCCTACAACAGTATGGTGATTGAACCCAGAAGTATCCTACCAGTGAACTACATCCACAGGCCTTTTATTTTTTATTTTGAGACGTGGTCTCAGTAAGTTGCCTAGGCTGACCTCAAACTTGCTATCCTGTTACTCAACTTCCTGAGTTGCTGGGATTGCAGGCATGCCACCACGCTCAGCCCCTCTTAAATATCTCTTACATCCATTCATTTCTTTTGGCTTCTACAGTGATACTAGCCAAGCTAAGATCACCTCTGGCCCAGTCTATTGTAGTAGCTTTCTAGATAGGAAGACTAGATAGTCTTCCAGAATCTACTCTTGTATTTTTTTGATTCTTTTCTGTACATTCAACCAAAGCGATCTTGAAGAAAATATGTAGCTATGTTCTCTTCAGTGATTTCCTAGTAATACTGTCTTTGTCAGTTCTAGCTGCCATAACAAAATACTTAGACTGAGTGGCTTAAACAATAGAAATTTATTTCTCAACAGTTCTGCAGGCTGAGAAGTCCAAGATTAAGGTGCCAATCAATTCTGTTCCTGGTGAGGGTTGCAGATGGCCAACCTATCACTGTGTCCTCGAGTGGCCTTTTTATGCAGAGGGAGAAGAAGAGCTCTCCTTTGTCCTCTTGTAAAAAGCCACTAATTCCATCCTTAGGAGCATGCCCTCATTATCTAATTTAATCCTAATTATCTTTCAAAGACCCATATCTCCAAAGACCATTTCATAGGGGGTTAGGGCTTAAAAATATGAATTTTGGGGAACACAAACATTCTATCCCATAACACTGTATAAGTTTCCAAACAAATATAACTTTATATGCATTTTTCTTGGTTTTATAAATATATATTGTAAATACATTATATGTAGAGTAAATATCATATATTTACTCACCAAATTCTTACTGAGCATTTGTACTACAGTCAAGAAATATAATTGCGAACAAGATAGACTTGGTCCTTGGTCTCACAGTGCTTATTGTTTAATGGGTAGATGAACAATAAACTAGGGAATCTTTTTTCAATACTTTTATTAGTTGTTGATGGATCTTTATTTTATTTACTTCTTTATTTATATGCGGTGCTGAGGATCAACTCAGTGCCTCACACATGCTAGGCAAGAGCTCTACCACTGAGCCACAACTCAAGCCCCGGAAATCTTTATATTTCAAATTATGTAGCCAGTGTGAAAAGACTCAAATTGTGAATCGCAAATATGAAATGGTTTTATTTTTTCCCAATAACCATTACCATTGTCTAGAAATCCTCTTGCTCTCTGGATAGTGCATTCCCTTATGAGCATCCAAACTCCAGACCCATTTTGCAGTCACTTTTGGTAATTAATAAATACAATCTCATTCCAAGTATTAAAATTTAGAGCCTGACCATTTAAAATATTTAACCTCCTGTTTAATTCATAGCTCTTCCTGTTTTCCTGGTGCAGATGAGCATGTGGCAACAACAGCTTTTGGGGAAGAAGGTGATGATGTCACTCTTCTCTGAACTCTTTCTCTTTCCAACTGAGGATGAAGAAAGGGAAGGAATGATCTCTGCAAGACTGTCCATAAAGAATTGGCTGTTCTCTCTTCTATTTGTTGCTACTTCAGTAATAGTTCTTCCACTGTGTCAGGTGTCCAGGTGTCAGCTCTATTACACATTGTGCATATTGCTGTTTTCTGTGGGCTTCCCTTGAGCACTCTCTAAACTAGGAGATTTCAGGCTCAACTTCTTTTTCCTGCACACCTGCATCATAAGTTACAATCTAACATATAGCATTTTGTTGTTGAGGGAACCTCATCTGGAAGAACTTCTTGAGGAATGCCAGCAAGAACCTTAGGCCTCAACCATTTTGTGTGCCAGCCAATTGAAGCACACATGTAGAGCTTAACATTTATAATTAAAGCAGAAAGGTAATGCAGATATCTCCCATCCTGAAATTCCTCTTTTAGCACCAACCATCTCTCTCCTATTTTCTTTCATCCCCAGGGACATCAGAGTCTCAGTCAGGACAATGATTCGGTGAATTCAGACAGGTTCTCAAGTTGGGGAGAGGAGTAAAGAATAATTTGTTGCACCTTAAATTGTGGGAAAGGAGTCAGGAACAAGCTGAACGGTCCTATCTTCAGCTGGAGAGAGATAATGGATGGTTTCGATCTACGATCAATAATAGTCATCCATGGATTTATTAGATACTTGGAAAATTTCAAATACCCATTTTTATTGTAGAATTTATGATAAAATATTTAATATTAATAAAGGATTTTCAAGAGTAAAAATAGTAATATTTTAGGGGTACAACTGGGTTCTGATTGTGAGTATCTTTCTCATCAGCTATTGGGTCTGAAACTCATGAAACACAGGTCTGACAGTGTCATATGAGAACACCTGAAAGGCACCTTGTCTTTACTTAGTAATCCAGATATGATGAATACTGGCCCTGAAGTTGCTTTCCTTAACATTGTAAGTAATGTCATCTGTTGAGAGCCATAGCCGAGCCGGAATGGCACCTGGCATTTTACCAGAAGGAGTGGTTGAGAGGTGACCAGCGAGCCATTAAGATGATGATAATTAAGTTAAGCTGTGTATAATTGTTGTGACTGGATGATGCTGGATTGAAATAGGCTGTGTGTTCAGTTGTATACGGACCTCTGCTATCCGGCGGGCGCCCGTTGAGTTCTCCGGGAGCCGGGTTGAGAGTGGAGAGAGTTCCCGGGGAGAGTGTGTGGAGTGCCGGTGAGAGTTTGGGCAATAAAGTAGTTCCTGTTTGAACCTACAAGTGCCTCGTGGCAGCTCGGTTATTTTGTGCCAGTCATCTAAATTTTCTTGGCCATCCTGGGTTTGTCCTGAAACATGCTGTTTTCCCTTGATTCCAAAATGATGGTTCCCTTTTCAGAAATATAGTGTGTGTGTGTTTTAAGGTGGTACTTCTTCTTAGACTTACCTGCTTGAAATCATATAATAATACTATATAAATTAAGAAGCTAATGTAGTCTTTTATGCACTTATTGAGTGTCTGCTAGATG